AAACTGGGACTGTCCCAAGCAACTGTGACATAGGTCACCCCAGACTCAGAAGCAAGTTATTGAATCAAGTTAACTCCCGAGGTGAAACTAAAAAAAGATACAAGCAGGCAAAGCAGTTGAGAGGACACAATAAGTAAAAACAACAGCTTAAGCAAATGTTTGGGGAACAGAAACAGTCAAGCGCTTGCAAGGGAATTAGGAGTGTAAGAACTAAGACTGAAAAATTATATTATGGAAGACTCTCTCTCCAACATTCTTCAAAGTGTACTTAAAAGACTATTGCATCTCATATCTGGAGAGTATATTTACAACGTAGTTTCCTGAGTCTCACCCTGGATCGAAACTGAATTAGAATTGTACAATGAGGCCTAAGAATCTACATTCCAGGTAATCCTTACGCACACTATAACTTGAGACTCAATCAGTGGGAAACCGTTATAAAATTTTAAGCAGAGGAGCGACAGATTTATAATTTCTAATAATCACTTCAGTGGGAGGATTAATACAAGATCAAAACTGAAGGCAGGGAGGCTACAGCAGGACACTCAGTAAAAGGTGATGAACTTTACCAGAACAATAGTAAAAAGAATGGAGACAAAAAAATATAGAATAGGATAAAAGGCTATATTGCTTACAGATATCAATTTCACGTTGTTACAGATCAGGGAAAACAGAACTGCATGACAAATAAATAAATTTAACCAAAAATCATTTAAGTTGTTTAAGTTTCTTTCTATGTCGATTTCTTTTCAAAGAGTTTCAAAATATTCTATTATTAAATCGCTAACTGAAATTACCTGTCATATAAATAAGAATATTGCTTCGATCATCAGAAAGAAGGCGTTTTGACCGAGGAGTACTAGGTGGGATCCTCCCAGTTAATACCCGTAAAAAATTCTCCACAGTTACCTAAAAATATAAGATAAATCAGATGAATTAGAACTTGAGGAAACCTGATAAATTATTTTACTTTCAAAAACATTCCATCCTTTTTCTCTGTGTATTGTTTTTGTTGTTAGTGGCTGTCAAATTATTTCCAACTCATAGTGACCCCATGTGTGCAGAGTAGAATTGCTCCATAGAGTTTTCAAGACTGTCACCCTTAGGAAGCAGATTGCCTGTTTTCTGAGTCGTCTCTGAGTGGGTTTGAACTACCAACCTCTCAGTTAGCAGTCCAGTGCTTAACCATTTATGCCACCCAGGGACTCCTCTCTACGTATTACCCATTGCTGTCAAATCGATTCCGACTCAGTGACCCTACAGGACAAAGCAGAACTGCCCCATAGGGTTTCCAAGGCTGTAAATCTTTTACAGAAGTAGACTGCCACATCTTTCTCCCACGGAGCGGCTGGTGGCTTCAAACTGCCAGTCTTTCAGTGAGTAGTCATGCATTTAATCACCGCGCCACTAGGGTCCATTCTACGTGTGTGTGTGTGTATGTATGTGTGTGTATAAACATATATTCATATCTATACACACAAACATATATATATATATATTCACACATACATACATATATATTTAACAGTTGCTGTCGAGTTGATTTTGATTCATGGCAACCTCGTGTGTTTCAGAGTAGAACTGTGTTACACAGAGTTTTCAATGACTGTAGATCACCAGGCCTTTTTCCAAGGAACTTCTGGGTAGGTTTGAACCACCTAATCTTTCAGTTAGTAGCTTAACTGTTCGCATCACCCAGGGACATAATATATATATAAAAAACCAAACCAAACCCATTGCTGTCGAATCAATTCTGACTCACAGTGACCCTATAGAACAGAGAAGAACTGCCCCATAGGGTTTCCAAGGAGCGAATGGTGGATTTGAACTGCCAACCTTTTGGTTAGCAGCCATACTTCGACATAGCTTTTACCCACTGTGTCACCAGGGCTCCATTTTATATATACATATATAAATACATAAAAATATACATAAATATATATATATATACACACACACACATATATACACACATATATATATACACATATATATATATACACACACATATATATATACATATATATATATATATATAGGAGCCCTTGTGATGCAGTGGTTAAGAGCCCAGCTGCTAACCAAAAGGTCAGCAGTTCAAATCCACCAGCCGCTCCTCCAAAACCCTATGAGGCAGTTTTACTCTTCCTACAGGGTCACTATGAGTCAGAATCCACTCGATGGCAATGAGTTTTTGGTTAAATTTAAAATGAAGTTTCAAAAGGAGAAAATATAGTATATTTATACTCATTTTTTAATTTTTAATTACATATGCATAAAAACACTGGAAGCATATTAAAAGCAGTTATCTCTACGTAATGGAAATATGTGTGAATTTTTTTGTTACTCATCTTCTAACTTTTCCCAAAATTAATATATTTATTAGAAATACTAAACTAGAAATTTTAGATCAGATATGAAAAACAAATAATACATATTCTATGAGAGAAAGTAAATACATGAAAACTTGCTAAACTCTAATGTAGAACTCAGTATAAAGTTTTTCTAAGACACACATGAAAATACCTGTGTTTTAACAGTTTTTCTCATGATTGTTTCCTTCATATGAACTCCAGAGACAGAATTATGCCAAAGATTCAGTGAAAATCGTGTACAAGTTTAAAGAAAAAGAGTAAGACATTTTATTTCTATCACTGTTTTAGAACTTAAAAGTAACAGTTAACTACAACTCAAAAATATTGCTAAATTAAACAACTTACCTCATAGCTTCTATAATCTACTTCCACATCATCTCCATACACATTTAATTCCATATTTTTGTGACTGAACACTGTAGCTGGTTTGGGATTTCTAGGGTTACATGCCATATCATCTGCAAGCATTAGAACAATGTGACTAGGAAAAAAAAATTTCCAGTAAATATACAACTTAAATAAAAACAAAAAAGTTAAAGACAAATAAAACTTATTTATATCATGTGACAATTATGTTCATTCTTTTATTAAAAATAAGTTTACAACTCTAAATAGAGTACAAACTTAAAGATGTTTTAATCATTTTTTCATATCCTTACATAATACAAGTTTTAAAGTAGAGAAATAAGACTACTCTGGAATGAATTTATCCACATATATTAAAGTTACTAACTTAAAATTTTTTCCCAATAGAGTATATTTTATGCCATATAGCAAAAGGAAGTTAAAAGAGCTACCCTGTCTTCCCCAAACATTTTAAAGATTTCTAGTAGCATCTGACATTCTCAATATTTGCAGAGTCCACATTTAACTATGATATTCCAAAGAATTTAACTTTCAGAATTCCAAACGCTGAAGTATAAAAACATGTAATCCATCATCAAGTGCAAAAACTGTACCACCAAAACCCATCTCCAGTCCAATCACTCCTTAGTAGCTCCACTCCATCTCCCTAATACCTGCCACCATCATCTCTTGACTAGATGCTAGACTAGCTCCCTACGTGGCTCCCTGCTTCCATTCCTGCTCCCTTACAGTTCATTTTCCTTATAGCCACCACAATGATCTTTCTTAAATAAGTCAAATCATTAAACTTTCGCACTTAACACCCAGCAAGGACTCCCCATTATAATTAAAATATAATTGAAACTCTTTACAATGGTCAAAAAGACCCAATTAATCTGATCTGCCTACCCAGTTTAAGTGAACTCATGTTCACTATGCTCCTTCTACGCTGGCTTTCTTTCTGTTCCAGAGATAAGCCTAGCCTTTCCCACATCAGGGTCTTTATGTTTGTTGTTCCTACTGACCAGATGTAGACTACTCTCCTCCCAGATCTTCATACCATTCCAATCTCAGCTAAGAAACTCTATCTCATTATCCTGTTTTATTTTCTAGAGAACACCTATGAATATGAAATCCCCATCACCCCCCCTCCACCATTCCCACTAAAATATAAGGTCTCTGTCTGTCTTGTTCACAACTGTAGTCCCAAGGCTTAGTATATACTGCCTGGTATATAGTAGGTACTCAATAAATATTTGTTGAGTAAATGAAACATTTTCATTTTTGCATGTATTTTCTATGACAGAAAATTACAAAATCTCTTAAATACTTCTCTTCTTGTTCCTACCATTAAACCTGGGGAACATGAATCAGGCAACTCTTTATTCTACCGTATACTTGAGCTTCCCAAACGTAAGGGAGAAATTAATGTGGCAAATGTAATTAGTTTTGGCAGGAGATACCAAGAAGAAAATGTTCTGCTGCATATGTTCCAAATACATTAAAGTTCAAAACTGAAACACTGTGATTTTTCTTAAAAATTGGCTAGATTTCTATTTTGAAAGGGTTCCAACCCTGCCACATTCAAAGATCATATCTTCAGCTGTTACTGATGCATCTCACAGAATGGTGAAAGCTATTCCTCTTAAAATGAAAAATATCTTCTCTTTTTTATAACTTAAGGAGATCATTAATTTATATTGTGATTATCAATCATACCTTGCTTTGTTATAGGTCACTGCTGAACAAGACAGAAGTGACCTCCAAATATCAATATAAAATAAAAGTATTCCTTTAGACCATGTTTTTCTGTTTAAGGCTAATTTCACTCTATGAAACTAGAATGGTTATTCAATATCTATATAATATCAATATCATAAAGTAGTAATTTCAGCTTAAAATCATAAATTCAATTATTTTTAATAGAGATATTTTAAAGTCTCCGTATAATTACTACAACGCTTAATTAGCATAGTTAGTATATCATAAAATTATTAAATTTGTAATAATACAGATAAATGAGAAATAAATCAGAAAACAGACTAGATTTCAAAGGTTTAGAAGTCCAACCACATATTCTAATGCACTATTTCTAAAATCTTTTTTTCTGGAGAAAAAAAAATTCTCACTTGGCCCAAGTGTTAACAAATTATTTGTATAATGGTACTTAAATAAATACAAACATGAAAGTAAACACTTTTAAATTTAGAGTTCTTATAAAACTATGAAATCAAGCTAAGATTATAAGTTAAATTCCAACAAAACTACCAAACTAATAATACTCTATGACCATTAATTCCATTTGAAATATGATTTTTTTCGCTACAACTAAATGACTGCTGTTATGCTTACAAAAGAGAGACAGGTTCAGGTCTGGTTCTATTCTTTTTTTTTCTTTCTTTTTCTGTATTTTGACATCCACACTACAATACTATTCAATTATAAAAGATGTCTATGATGTCACAAAAGTATGTTTACAAAATGGTATTTATAACTTCCAGGTTCTGTTTACTAATTCAGAAAAATCAGATCATATATTTAACTAAGACTTTGCCAATAAACATTCTTTGAACACCAGTTATAATGAAATCTCACTTCTTTACTCCTTTCACTTGAAGATCAGGTGAGCAAAGTAGTAGTTATTTAAATCTTCACTGAATGAGTATCAAATTAAACACTGCCGAAATCAAGACCAAAAAACCAATCTACATTGAAGACATAGTACTACATTTCTGTAAATAATGACAGCAAGTTGTTTTGTATTAAGACAAAATCCCCAAAATATATCTAATCAATAACATGAATATAATATTCTTACAGTTTGGGAAGCCTCTACTACCATGTGATGATTCAGCTGACACTTTGTTCTATTCAAACCCCTGCAAAAACTCCACCACACAAAAAAAAATACAGCAATAAGGCCTTCTCAGCGCAAAACTAAAAGAAAGTATGCGCACTAAAACTGTATGGCAAGTTCAGTTATACAGTGGTTATTTACATAAACGGTTCCCAAATTTTTTAAATCATGCAGTTATAACAGTTTTTTTAAAAAAAAATTGTGAGGACAAACCCCTATATATCTACTTATTTGTAAGTTAAATGTATTTACTACTTTAAATATATATTATAAATATTTACAAGTGTAACTTCTTTCTCGAGATTTAAAAAAAAAAATTTTTAAAAACTGCTTGGGGTGGAGAAAGATGGTGAAGTGAGCGGACATGCCCATTTATCCCTCCAGCAAATAATCCACTGAACAACAAACAAAAACAAGCACAGACTGAGGTCTCAGAACTCCGGACGGTAGCTGAGGTGCTGGAGAGTCAGGGTGAGTCCAGAAGCGGGGGAGAGGAGGAACGGGGACGGCACAGAAGCTGGGAAAACTTACCCTCTAATATCTGGAGCAGTTGCTCATTGCAGTCATTTTGAGATGGGGCTGGGCAACATCCCAAACGGGGAACAGAAAGGGAGCTAATCTAAGGAAGCTGTAGCCCAATTTTTTAAGGCTGTGCAAACTGGCTGTGGGAGTGTGTGGGCCATGCAGTGGAGAGGGGACAAAGGGAGACCGTGGTGCTGAGGGAGAGTACTGTCAAATCTCGCTGAGGCTCAAGACAGATGCACGCTAGGATCAGGAAGAACTGCAAGGGCAGGAGGGTGAGGGAAATAAATACTTCAGATGGAGGAGCAGCACAGGGAAATAGCTGGCTCCCTGACTATAACGGGACACGGTATGAGAGCCTGTGCAGGGTGCCCTTGAGGCAAAGACATAGACAGCCCTCACCTTCATCATACGAAAGGTGAGCCCCACCGCTTACATCAGCATCCGAGACCAGCTAAACCACCACGTCCCGCCCTGCCATACATGCATATTGAATTTCAGAGATCAAGCATCTAGAACTCCTGAGTCAGCACCAAAAAAACTCTAAGAATAAGGGGGCCCTCCAGTGCTTCTCAGGAGAAGATACCAGGCCCACTGCTACTGTGTTGACTCTGACTTGTGGAGACCTAGTGGGGCAAAAGGAAAGCCCCCCATAAGGTTTCCAGCACTGCAAGTATTTGTGGAGGAAGGCTGCCGCAGATTTCTCCTGCAGAGTGGCTGGTGGGTGCACACCCTGGTCTTTCAGTTGGCAGCCAGGTGCCTGGTCGCTGTGCTACCAGGGCGCCCAATCAGAAAATTTTGCCACAACAACCAGAACACAAAATCTAAAGTAAAAAAAAGAAGATAATAAAATGGCCCAAGTTCAACAACAAAAAAAACAAAACAAAAGAGTAAAACACACAATATCACAAGAAGAATCAATCAAGAGCAAAACAAGAAGAGGAAATTTTTCCTATGACTAACAGAAGGAATTGAAAATTTTCAGAACATGGTGCTAAATATGTTTAAAGAAAGCAAAAAGCACACAGAAAACAAACTAGCAGAGATCAGGAAACAAATGGAGGAAGAAAATGAGAGACCCAACAAGGAAATTGGAGATATTTTAAAAAAAAAAAAACCACCCCAAAGAGAACTACTAGAACTGAAGAATAAAGCAACTGAATTAGAAAAGGCAAGAGAAACCTCAACAACAGTCAAACAGACAAAAGATAGAATAAGTGAACTAGAAGACAAAATAACTGAATTTATCAAGTCTCAAAAGAAACAAGAGAAAAGAACAAATAGAAGCGAACAAACCTAAATGGAAATATGAGACTCAATTAAGAAATCTAACATTAGAATTATTGGAATTCCAGAGCATCATGACAACAATAAAGGCATAGGAACAATTTTCCAGGAAATAATTTCTCAGACCTGAACAGAGAACCAAGCTGCAAAATACAGGAAGCTACACAAACTCTAATTAAAAGAAACACACAAAAAAAATCAACTCAGTGCCATATCTTAATAAAATTTTGAAAACCAAAGACAAGGAGAGAACTCTAAAAGCAGTGAGAGAAAAACACAATACAACATACCAAGGGTCTTTCATAAGGATCACTGTAGATTTCTCCCCAGAAACTCTAGAGGCCAGAAGACAATGGAACAATATATATAAAATTTTGAATTGCCAAGCAACAATTCTTTATCCAGCAAAGCTGTCATTCAAAAACGAGGGGGAAATCAAGACATTCCTAAATGAATGGAAGCTCTGGGAA